AAGGTTGAAGAAGTTTTTAATAGACTTTATTCACCCAGACCAAAATGATTTCCTGCCTAAAAGACAAATGAAGAACAATCTGAGGACTATCTTGGATATCCTAGAATACTATGAGACACACACGGAAAAATCAATGGCTCTGCTGTTTTTGGATGCCTAGAAAGCCTTTGATAATGTTAATTGGCAATTCATGAAGCAACAGATGGCTCAAATGGAGTTTGGAGGGAAATTCATGAATGTGATATCAAGTATCTATCAAAGACAATCAGCCAGGATTTTAATTAATGGAGAACGTACAAGGGCTATAGAGATACAAAAGGGTGCAAGGCACGGATGCCTGTTGTCACCCCTATTGTTCATCCTGACTTTAGAGGTCTTGAATAGAAATATTAGGGATGACGAGAACATTAAAGGTACTAAAATTAGAGATGAAAAGTATAAATTGCAAGGATTTGCGGATGATTTGGTCTTTATAACAGAGGAACTTTTTGTAACAATCCCTAAACTTTTACAATGGATTGAAGAATATGGTGAGGTTACGGGGATGAAAATAAATAAAGAAAAAAAGAAACTTTTAGTTAAAACTCTTACAAAAGATCAGAAAAAAGACTCCAAGAACAAGTGGATTTGCAGATTGTTAAAAAGGTTAAATACTTGGGAATCTATCTTACAGCTAAATGCACAACTTTGAAAGAAGACAATTATGATAAATTATTGAAGGGTATTAAAGGTGACCTGGAAAAATGGGCCAATTTACAATTGCCTTTGATGGGAAGAATAGCACTTGTTAAAGTAAATATACTACCAAAACTTTTGTTTTTGTTCCAAATGATTCCCATAAAAATTGATTAAAAATTTTTTGAGGATCTAAATCTTCAATTTAGAGATTTATTTGGAGAAAAAAGAAATCAAGGATTAAATTAAAAATGCTTCAGGAAACTAAAAAGAACAGGGGTTTTGGTCTTCCTGATTGGATGTTGTATTATCAAGTGTCTATTTTAACTTGGCTAAAAGAATGGATAACCTTGCAAAATAAGAGAATTTTGTATCTTGAAGGTCATGATTTGCAAATGGGTTGGCACGCTTATATGTGGTACAAGGAACTTAAGTCACATGGGACTTTTTTAAGTCACTTTATTAGAAGCTCATTAATGTCAGTGTGGGAAAAGTTAAAGTCAAAATTGTATAGTAAATTACCAAGATGACTTTCACCAATGGAAGCCTTTGTGTATCCAAATGTATTGAACTTTGAAAGGATTATAAGATATGATGATATTTTGGACAAGGATGGAGGCCTGAAACTAGATCAAGAAATTCGAAAACAGGGACTCAATATCTCTTGGT